ACGTTTACCAGACCCCTTTCTTTTCACCTTAATTGCTCTGATCGATCCAATAAAAAGTATTTTCAAGCCCCATACCTTCCAATCAATTTCTTTTCCAAAAGTTTTCCCATGAACCGAACAACAACGTCCGAGTTGGAAAATTGTACAGAGCCAGGATGCTTCACCTTTGCTAGAGGATCAGCCCACTTTGACTGTAAAAGGCATTCCACTGCGTTACTGGCATAAAAGTAGTTAACGCAGCATCCACCAAGGCGACCCTCGCTTGAAGGCAAGTTCCTGTACAAATACTTGCAGACTTCCAATTCAAATGGTGACGGTTGCGACTCTCCACCACTAGTATCACATCTTTTCACCTTTCCTCGTTTCTTAGAGTTCATTGTAAAACATCGACCACAGCACCACTACACAAAAAATAGGCTGGTGGATTAAGAAGTGCACGTCCACGCAATCTGAGATAAGCTTAAATGGCACTTTTTGCCTTATTGGCCAATTCAAAGACGCTTAATGATCTATCAGCAAAGGGGATCTATCTCAAATCAGTGCTTATTTTTTGCAAACAAAATGTGTTATTCAATTGTGGAAGTCCATTTTTTGCCCTAAATGTCAATTGGCATTTGTGTAAAATGTGTATTTTGGAAATTCTTATAATCTTGTAATGTCTAAATAACCTTTTGAACACTTCTCCTAATAAGGACAAGTCATTAAGAGCTTATGTAATACTTATGTTGTTTTAATGTGCCTTTCAGGAAGGAGGGAGGCAGGAAATTCGAACCTGATAACTGGATCGCCCTTTCCCTTACCTAGCGACTGCGGCTCCCCTCCTTCTTGAATATTGTATTTTCCCTATACATCTTGTCGTCTTTAATAAAGATGTCCAAAGTAAACCAACCGGGCTTGTCTAGGAACGCTAAAAAACGGGAAGCGGAGACCGAGGAGTCTCGCTCCACACTTATATTAACTTAGTAATATGATGTGGCTTTTGGGTTGTTCTTGGGCTGGTTTAAATGTTTCACTTTTGTGAAGCGGTGCTTAAAAATTGAAATTTCATGCCAAGTTTGCGTTTAGGGGCGAATGTATTTTGGGGAATGCTGATTCGCCAAGTCAAAAGTGACTCCTCGCCAATATCGAAAAATAAACAACTATCGCATTACATTATGGTAGTATAGCACAAAGTGTAGTGCTAACACAGACGAGGTGGAAGACCGCCGCCATTATCTGTAGACTATGCCGTCAAGCGAAATTACAATCCGCAGAGCCTTGAGTGCCGAAGATTTCAAACGCAGATTTAAGCTACCAAAGTAATGCCTTAGTGTTATCGTAGCAACAAGGCGTCCCTAAAATTGTAATAGATCAGAGGAGATTGAGACAACATATGTTACTAACGTACAGAATGCCTGAGAGGATCTTACCTGATTAAAACTACAGCCTGTGAATACTGGATTGAGACTGAATCGCCTGCGCAGTTCAACACACACATAAACGAATTGTCAGATCACAGCACTCCTCTTATCCACCCTAGAATCCAGAATCCGTCGTTGAGTAATGTTATCCTTGTCTACATATATTATGATGTGTGACCGGATGGTTTACAATCTTACAAAGATTTCAGCATTTCTCTCATCCACCCCCGCTTTCATATTTTTGAAACGAGCAGGTTGGTCAGAGGAGGTTATCTTTTATTGCAGAAGTATTGTAAATGTGCACAAGCACAGCCTAATTAAATTCCTATAGTAACTTGCTGAGCCTAAGAAAGTCGAAGTTGCATTGGAATGGACGGGTTTGACCAGATCCTCACTTTCTTCATCCGGTATTCAGTAAGTGCCATCCCATCTGATGAGACAGTACCTCAAAATTTAACCGAGTGTAAAAGCTATTAACATTTCTTTGGGCTCTGGGTCAGATCCGGGTATCATAGGCGGTCCAACACTAATTTCTGATTGTGTCTATGCTCCAAAATATTTCTCCCGAAGACAAGTATGTCATCTAGGTATCCTAAACAATGGTTTGGGAATGGTTCAACCGGAGAGGTTTACATGTGATGGAAAGTGGCCGCGACGTTACAGAGCTCGAAATGCAGTGCCTGAAATTTGTAAAACACATTTGACAATAAAGAAGCAGCCTTCTCTCCGTTTATTTCTCCCTGTTCTGCTTGCTAGTATGGCCATTTTCAGTCTAGCTTGGCGAATCGACTTGACTCGTGTAAATAGTTTACCAAATTTGTTGAAGCGGAGTGGTGGAAAGGAGTCCTTCTTCTTTACCAGAACAATCGGTGAGGTCTATGGCGATTTGGATGACTTTTGTGACCTCGTCTCTGATCATCATTTCAATGAGGCATTTCCTTTACTCTAGCAGAAGGGGATGGTGCGCGTTCAGGTGACCGTCAGGTCGGTTTAGCCTCGCCAATGCCTGTTCTTTCCAACTTAACATAAGCAAGCTGCTTGAAGAGATCGACTAAGTTGGTCATGGGTATTTTTGCAACTTCGACTAGGACATCGCAAATATCATTGACGTCTTTTTCGGTGACAAAGGACTATCGTGACTTTAGCAACTTGATGGATAGAGCGGTCCTTTCTTCAAAAATTAGGACGGCTTAAGTACTACGTAAAACAAGACCCCAAGAATCACATCCCAAGTCAATTTCAGAAGCATACAAATTCCGTTAATCGTCTTTCTTTGCCCATATTGACATGAAGCAATGTCTGTCCCTTCTGCTGCTAATCGAAGCCTGCTAGACGGAACAACTCTGTTGAGACTAATTCGAGTCTCAGAGCAATTTTTGTAAAGTTCCTTCCAATTTGCTCTAAGCTTGCAAGCATGAATATGAGCCAGATGAAAACAAATAAGATAGGAAAAGGGAGGGTCACCTAACTTTGGGTTGCATCGTGGAGAGCCTCAGCATAGGAGAGCTGGATTTGGTGGATAATTGCGGTTTTTGTAGTGCAGAGCCGTAACCAACTCCCGACCCTTCTGCATTGCAAACCTTAACAACTTGTTTTGGACAGTTAATGTTACTGTTGTGGAGTTTCTCTACCATAATGTGTGGGTGAACTCCACCTCCGCTTGCGCCGCCTTGGAATAAGCAAATTGGCTAGAGGTGAATACCTTCTATTTGCGAAATATTGTGATTGTACTGATGAATGTGGCTAAAGGGGACGAGAGTCCGTTTCCGCGTCAGGGGTCAATAGTGTCCGCTCTATCATGGGGATGGCTATTGCTAACCGTTTTTCACTTCAAAGGTTAATTTAAACCAACAGGCATTGCATAGCCCCCTCGTCTTTATGAGCACCGTCCCCGACAGTCCTCGTTCTTCAGTTAGTATGCATATTTCGGTTTCATACCTTACCTCCGTATCCAAAGGTGTAGCTTTTTATGGCTGCGTTTTGTTGTAGTGAAACGCGATTGGTTGAATGTGGATTTGGGCATTGCAGACGGGATAGTTTGCTGATGGGGTTACCTTCATTACTCGGAATAAAGCTTTGCTCCAAGAACGATGGGACTTATGCTGTACTCCATGGGGTAGAACAGGCCTCTTTCTCAGTGGACTTTAGACCGGCTTTGCTGGCATGATAACGTTTCTACTGGACGTATGTGAGGCGTAAGTGTCAAAGGTGCGATGTCAGGAATATTTCTCGTCTTTTTTTTCAGTCGCCGTGCGCACTCTGAGATATTGGAGGTTGCAACTTCAGGGTATGTTAAGAAAATTTTAGTTGGTACACGCATTTTACAAAATACAAAAATTTTCAATGACAAAACGCCCTTTAATTTATAAACTGTAGCTTCACACACACCAGAAAGTGCCATAAAAGACGCAAAACCCAATCTTGTAGTCGTGCATCTCCTGTGAAAGCCTCCAACCAGAGAGTGATTAGCTCATTCCACCTGCCTGATCAAATACGTCATTGTTGTGTAAAGCTATTTTCGTCCCCTGAAAGGTAATAAATTACTCAAGTCCCTACAGCACGTCAGCGCCACCGCAGTTCACCTAATCAAACACGTAGGATTAAAGTCACCATGGCTAAAAAGGGAGGCAGAGACACTTACCCGAGGTGATGAAAGGCGTTTTCCCGGTTCCATACACGGTTGGCCCGCTCTTGACAATTCCTGACGCCATACTCAAACAAGTAAATCCAGGTGTCACACATTAGAAATCCATCATCACTGTAGTTCATGAAGTAGTGACTCAACAGATTGTCACGTTAATCACTTCAACTGCATACCTCAGTTGTACATATACCCGTCTTAGTCAAAGCGTACAAAGGGAATAGAAAGCTAACAGCGGGTGCAGAATGCGCACCCACAACAGGGGTAAACACAAATGCGATTAGTGGGGAGCGAGGTAATGCGACCATTTCACACACCAAAATGACTTCGAGGACGCGTGAATGTATTTGGCCCAGTCTGTGTATTCACTACTCCTTTTTAACGCTG